GCTGCCGCGGCTCCTTACAACCGTGACCTCTGGCACTCCCACACATGTGAGGAGTGTGTTGGCATATGAGTTGTGCCTCTCAGTCCGCGACTGGCTGCTTACCCGGCCTTTGAAGGGTGATGGTCCAGGCTCAGCGCAGGGCTGCGTGCCACCATCCTGGGCCTCAAGGATTGTGAGCGTCTGTTGTACCACTATTTGGCAAAGCGTGGCTTTCGCAGCCTGGTTTACGCTGGCAGTTCTCTGGCGCCTGGTTTCCTGCCGGTAGATGCGCTGACACTCCCGCTGGGTGCACATTTCGTGAGCACGGCTTCCCAGTCATTCTAGTCTTCCTGGCCCGTCGTTGTGCTGTTGTTGGTAAAAATTCTGGTCAAGTGTTTGTTATGGACCAGGGGGTGTGATTGCGCGTCTAGCTACGGGTCCGGCCGTGCCAGCCACCTGCACCCTCTCCCGCCTCCGGTCTTCTTGACAGTGTCTTGATACCGGGCCCAGGTGGGAGAGGAGGTAATGCGGTAGGTGCTGCGCAATTACACATTTACTATAAACCGGGCGAAGGAGGGAGTACAGTAGATGCTGCGTAAGTTTACTCACACTGTAACCTAATCCAAACGTAGGTCATCGTGCCTGCTTCATCTTGCTGTGGAGCACACGATGGACATCGTCTGTTGCGACAGCCTGCCCTCACCTTCCTGTGGAGTTGACGGTGGACATTGTCGGTTGCGACGGTCGAACTGCTGGTTATACAAAGTTATAATCAAGTAGACCACAAAATAAGATTTTCCAGAGTAGCTTTAAACGCCAGCTTAACTATTTACATGGTAATATTCCCCCCCCCCTTCAAATCTCCATGTACCTTGAAATGCCTTGTTTGTTGAACTTCGACCTAAGTTAAGCGGTAACGTAAAGCGAAACTGGAATGTTCTAGGTGAGCTTTAGTTGGTCCTGCGTTCGGCGTCATGTTTTACCTTCTTAAAATTGGCCCGATGTGTGTTCCCGGCAAATATTCAGATAAATCAGGCTGAGAGAATTTTCCGGTTGTTACTCTTTCCTGCACAGCCTGGGCATCCAGGAACGAGTCGACAAAAGGTGGCTAAAATACTCTACCACACTAAATAGGGAACCGGCAGCCGACTACTGGCCATCGTCAGCAGTTGACAAAGAAAACCAATTTGACCAAAAGAAAGAATATTCCTCAGGACATGTCAGGGTATGCATCTACAACGGAGAGGAGAAGGGACGGATACAAACGTTGAAGAGGTCCCTATTGAGTGTTGCCCTTCTGTAACTCCAGCTAACTCTACCAGCCGCTTTATCATCCTGAATCATTTCGGTCCAACTCAGGCTGACTAATCGGAATCCACTGCCCACACGTTCGTATCATTTTGCACATGCTCTACCGATTAACGCAAATCATGTTCACCCGCATTCCCAGTTCGGGGAGTCGAAAACGACGGTTATTCATGTTCTGGCTGGGACTGTTGGCTAGGACACTAGTATTCAGGCTCGCCCACGCGTGCCGCATGTTGCTTCTCTCATAAAAAGATTTCGCGAGTGGGCAGAAACTTCATGCAAAGTATTTTTAGAAGGTGACGCATAGTTTGAACTTCCTGTCATGCATATTTTCAACGATGATGCACCACGAATCACTGAATCAGCATAAAACGCAGCCCTGTGATTGACTGGATTAAGCAAAATGGTTTTGTTTCCTCTAACCGAAACGCTGTTCGAGAGTATGCCGCTTGGAGGAGCTCCGAAGTGCTAATAAGTAGTCGGGTCCACTGACAGAAGGGACGATTACCTCAGGCAGGTTTCCGGACCAAAACAACAAAGCTAAATTTAAAGGCGCAGCTTCTGATAAGTCCTTGGGGAAAGAGTTTTTAAGTTTCCCGGTTTTTCAATTAAATAAACGCTTTTTTTCAGGAAAGGTAGGTGTGAAGGGGCAGAAAACGGGAATAGAACTTCCCTCGTAATACAAGTGACATCGCGCTAAATTCTAGGGAAATTATGGTCAAAGCTAAGTTGAAGGTCAAGGTTAAGGCTAAGGTGGGAGCTAGAAGCAGAATTTGAATTTGGACTGAGGCATGGATATTTGTACACTTTCTAAAATTTGGTGCGGGAGGTACGGAAAGTATCTGTTCCCGTTTTTCACCACTGGGGGCTTATCGGATCATTCCTACAAGCCAGTAAGGCAGTTTCGGCTCTTAGAAATAATCTCAGAAACACACTCGCCTCGACCAAGGGGCAAGTTCGTGTTTTTTTTAAAGAAGTAAATGAACAAGATGAAAATAACCGCATGAAATTATCCCTTCAAGGGACATCAAAGATACGCTCAGTTAATCAGGGCTTAAGGTCTGAAGCTGTTCATGCGGAATAATATGACAGTTTAATACGATGTCGCACTTGGTTGTCCAATCTGCTCAGTTGCCTGATAATTCTACTTCTTTGGCCCCATCTAGTCAAACCAAGGTAATAACGATTTTTCTGAAATATTTCAGTAAAAGTCAGCAAAAAGATTTGGCTTGACCTCGATACAGATTATCAACAGCCCAAGACTTAGTCATATTGAGGTTATCTAAGTCACCTGATCGATACTCGAATACGATTGTGACTAACCAAGCTATTTGATTTTCATTCTCAGGAAAGTCTTCCTCGGACGAGTGTTAAACATACTGCTAACACTACTATCACTGGAGAGAGAGGACTCCAGTCGGCAAGTCAAATTTAGTTGTCTGAAACTCCTTCAGGTCAGAAAACAAAGGGATTTCTAGAATGAGAGCTGGCAAACGACAATATTGGATTTAAAATACCTCTAGAATATGTGTCAAGTTCTTCGTATTTATGTGCCTGTAAAACAACTTCACTTAGGTTTATGGCAAAGGAACTAGTTGAACACTCGAAATTCAACATTTACTCCAGTGGAGCTTAACCTAATCATCGCCTTCAAGTGCTTTCGCCAATTGTCTGGACCAAACAAAAATAACGACCGCTTCTTACTGCCCGATTGTCGAGTTTTCATTGCTCCAACTCTCGCACTTGAAGATCTGGTGAGTTAAATGACCTTGAGGAGTCCTCAGTGGCAGACGACGATGCATCTTCGAAATAGAACTAAAATTTAATTTTTTATTCGTCCCCAGTGGCTAAGAGTAGAAGTCGTGCAGGGAAGAGTTCATCGGAGGCTAACTCAATTTCATGCCCGCCTGTACCCTCACGCCTTCTGCATGAATTGGGCCTGCTGTGAGGTAAGGCAGATGGGCGCGAACGCACGTGATATCCGTTGAGTATCTACTGAAGACCCCCCCCCCAATATCAGCTTTTTACGTGCAATTTCTGTCACCGTTGCCGTCGGCCCTTGGTGTGTCACTCGTTGACCGGGTAACTTTCGGAAATGCCGTTAGTGATAACTGGTCTCTACAGCTACCTCAGAGAAAGGAGTTGTCTATTCTCAGCGATGTCGAGAATCAGATGTTATAAAATACCAAGCCCTTCAAACACGCACATTTGGGGATATAATTCCGTTCTCCCAGTATTGTTGCAATAGGGTCATTGTTTCCTTCGTAGCCACGGCAGTTTGATCAATCCCATGAAATGTTGAGCGGAATTATGAATAGTATTTTTGATTTGGAAGGACTGCAGAAGTGGAGTTGTAATATTGATTGTCGTGCAGGATACTCCCAAGATATTTTCAGACACGCCGGGAAGTTGGCTTTTACATACGCTCCTTTTCGGCGGACCGCAAAAACCGCAAACGATAAAAAGTGACTTCATATATGTTATGAGTTTTTCCTAATGATTTTTGACGCCTGATAAGTCCAATTATGTTATATGGAAAACATGTGCATAGATATTTCTATTGTACTTATTTGGTAGAAAATCATTTCTTTTCCAAATTTTGCACCCAGAAAAAGAGTAAATTTAGATCTAAAAAGAGTTTTGACGTTCCCAAATACTTTTGAGTCCGAGTTGCCTTTGTATTTGCTTTTAGGATTTTTTTCTCCATGAGATGCATACTTTCCGTATAACGAGCATCATGCATTTGTCTATGCCATCAAGATGATGTCACAAAGGACTTCACATTTTATAATGCATGCGGATTATGTCGTGTACTTCACGAGGAGAATTGGTGAACGGATACTATTCTAATGGACATTGCAGGGTCTTAAAACTCCTCATAACAAAAAACTTTAAATCGCGAGACTTTCTTTTTTCGCACTAAAAGTTCAAAGAAGAGGTGATTTTTTATCCAGTTAAGTATAGGGGAGAATATTTTTGTCCACACAGTTTATAAAATATATTTGCGTTTTTGAGACCACCGAAAGTCAATCAAAATGTGTATACCAGTTAAGTAGGGATCTTTTGCCGACTAGAAAAGTTCACTCGAAGGCCAACATCCTGATGTGGCTTACGTTGCACGATAATCAATAGTACAACCCTATTCAAGTAGTTTTTCTGAACCAAAAACGCATCTCAGAATTTCAATTAACAATTCATGAGAACGATTACTGACCGCATATGCGTACTTTTGTCGAAATGTACCATCATTAATTTCCTTCTTTGCGATACGGTTGGCGCAAACTTTAGAATGTACTCCTTGGCTCGACACGGGAGCATAGACTACCCGTATCAAAGGCGGCCTTGCCCTAAATTCCGGGGTTAAGTTCAGTGTTAGGTCTGAGCTAATATGGGTTGGACTGTAGCACTGGGGGGTCCATATTTACGTGTCCGACCAACACCCCTGCCTGCCCTATCAGCTCTTTGTTACCCGGGGCCTGTAGGGGTGTTCATCGGGGGTTTCACGTGACGGTCGTATAGGTCGCCTTCTTGTTTGCAGGTGTAGACTACGCCTAGCGTCCATTTGCTGGCACCCAACTCTCGCATGTGGCTCCCCGAGGCTAGGCCCTGCCTAGCGGATACACCCCGGTAACCGCCTCGACCGGCGGGACAAACCACGTGAGGGTATCCGTGTGTGCATCTTCGCACACAGTTATCTCGCCTACGCTGGCCGGATGGATCCCCGCATCGGTATCTCCGAGATAATGCTCCGTCTGGAACAACGTAGGAGTCCACAGTGTAGGTGAGCTCCCAGATAAGCTAACATTGCTCTGCTGCCTTTTCTCTCGCTTGTTCTTGTTTGCTTGCTCTCTGTCTACCTGTTTGTATTTGTTCTTGTTGAAAGCTAAACGCCGCTCTGTCGAGTTTCCTCTGTCGCCTTTGCTTTTTACTGTTAGGACCCTCTGCTTTTTGACTGCTTGTTCCTGTCCGTCCTTACTGCAAGCTACATGCCGTTCTGTGGAATTTGTCTCTCACCGGTTTTATTTCAGAAACTAGTTAACCTAGAGTGGGACGGAAAAGCTCTGCTTCCCGTATCTCTTCCTTTCCACCATCGCCCCTTCCCCTGAAGCCCTACGGCGATGTTATAGGCAAGCCCAGACTAACTCAGGTCGTTCTCCCACCAAATAAATGTCTTGGCCAATAGTGGAGTTCGGCAGCCCTCTGGGACAACTGAGCAGCCATAGTAAGGGAAAGCACTTCTCACCCCAGCGAGGGGGAAGGGGCTAGAAAAGGTGCTCTAAACAAATGCTGGGGACCCACGCCGTCCGCAGGCTGACCGTGGAGTCAGACGAAAAACTCACGGTTGAAACAACCAAACCAGAAACAACACTCTCTCTCTTCCCACTCCTCCTCCTGCCGCCCCGCCCGCCAGACCGGTAGGGTGAGTCCGCTCACTCTGGCTGCCTAGAATGTTCGATTCCTTTTAGAAAATTCGAGGCGCAACCGACCGGAATGGAGGACAGCGCTACTGGCTCGGGAATTGGCGCGCTACAAGTTGGAAATCGCTGCACTCAGTAAGACCCGCATCTCCGAACAAGGCCAACTGGAGGAGGTGGGTGCCGGCCACACCTTCCTCTGGAGCGGTCGTCCAAGAGCAGAGCGACGGGACGCAAACGTCGCCTTTGTCAACCGGAATGACATCGTGGGACGACTGCCCCGTCTGCCGCAGGGCATCAACGATAGTCTGATGGCAAATTCGTCACCATCACCAACGTCTACGCTCCGCCGATGACCACTCATAATGCCACAATAGAAAAATTATACGAGGACATGCACGCCTTCCTGGCGACTGTGCCGAAGCGGATAAGCTGATTGCTCTTGGTGGTAAATTCAACCCTCGCGTCGGCACAGACCATGCTGATTGGAGAGGAGTGCTGGATCCTCATGGTCTTAACGGCCCCAAAGAAAACGGTATATGCAGTAAATCTCCTCATCCTGGCTAATATCTATTTCCACCCTCCGACGTGGGAGAAGCGCACCTCGATGCATCCTCCGTGGCGACACTGGCACCTGCTGGACGATGTCCTCGTCCGGAGGCGAGACCAGCGGGACGTGATGGTGACAATGACGATTCCGGGTGCCGACGGGTGGATCGACCATTGCCTTGTCACCTTTAAGATGTTACCCAGAAGACTCTTCTATGGAGATGTCACGACGGGTTCACGCCAACAAGGAGGTCAATTCCGGGGCTACAAAGACACTTTGGAGACTTCCTTGAGGCGCCTGCAGATTAACCCGACCAACTGGCAAGACCTCGTCCAGGATCGGCCAGCCTGGGGGAGGACAGTGAAGAAAGCCGCAGCGATATACGAAGCCGATCGCGTAACCGCTGCCAAAGCCAAACGCAAAGCTCGCAAATCTCACCAGCTTCGGACGCCGCCTCACAACGCCAGCGCCCAAACACCTTCAACGTGCCCACGATGTCAACGGACATTCCGTGCGCCAATTGAATTTTTTGACATCTCCAGACTAACCGCACCGACCATCTTCTCTCCGTCCGCCTCTCAGTCCTGGTATCACACGCCGTCAGCTAACGTTGAACGCCCTCCCGGACTTCCTCTACCGTCCCCCTCCTCCTCCTCCTCCTCCTCCTCAACGTCTGGCGCTGTGGCGTCTGCCATGCCCACCAACACTACCCACAATCCTGACACACTAATAAATATCAACACCACTACTCTCAACACCGGTAATGAGAACCTGCTCCATGCCTGTCCTCGTTGCGTTCGCACCTTCACTCCACACCTCGGTCAGGCCGGTCACTTGCGAATCCATCGCGCAGAGACTGGCGAGCCAGCGCTTGGAGAACCAACTCACACTTACCACATTCGCCTCCACTGTCCACATTGCACTCGCACATTTGGTCACTGCATGGGTCTGTTAGGCCACATGCGCGTCCACGAAAACATGTGGTAGGCAACCGCCGGCTAAACCACATTATCACATCCACCCTCACCAGCATCTCACCGCACATCAACATCACCCACCGCAAGCACCCAACTGTCCCCTCCCACGCAAGTGGAAAGTGTGCGTCTCGGCTCCTTCTCCATGCGGCTCCTCTACTGAGTGCGTGATCGGAGCCTGGGACGAAGACAGTGCATCGGGTGCCGTGGCTCAGAGGGCAGCCGACTGACGCCCCAGCTCAGTCCAAGCAGTCTGCCCAGTTGTGTGTGTTGTGTGTAGTTGTGGATTGGTGGGCTGAGAGCCAGGCTATCATGGCCCACTCTCAAGCGATCTGTGACTTTCTAATTCCTTTGAGGAGAATGTTTGTGTTTGTTTGTGTGTTTTATAGTTATTGCCTCTCAGTCGACGACAGTATAGGTTACCTAACCTTGAAGGGTGACGGCTCAGACTAAATGCAGGGCCACGTGTCGCCCTTATAGGTCACAAGGTCTGACAGCGTGTGTTATGTCAGCACCAGCAAACAATAGCCCCCGCAGCCTGGTATGTGCCGGCAGTTCCCTGAAATCTGTTTCCCGGCCGGTAGATGCGTCTGCGCTCCCGCTGGGTACACAGGTGGTGGTCATGGTTGCCCAGTCATCCTCGTCCTTCTGACCCCTGTTGGGGGGTTGCTGTTGTTGGTCAAGTGTATGTTGTGGAGTTGGGGGTGTGGAATGAAGTGCGAAGGTGCGAGCTCGACCGTCCCAGTCACCTGCGTCTTCCCCCGCCCCGGTCTTCTTGACTCTGCCTTGACACCGTGTCCAGGTGGGGAGTGGCGAAGAGAGTGCGGTAGATGCTGCGCAAGTCAACATCCGCTATGAACTAAATCGCGTGCAAGTCACCCTGCCTGCTTCGCCTTGCTGTGGGGCACACGGTGGACATCGTCGGCAACGACGGTCGAACTCTCTCGTCACCTCGGGGCAGAGGTTAACTGAGGACCACGGTTACAACCTCCGAAACCTTGACAAGCGACCGGGTCGAGCATCCCCAGCCTATGTTTGTTAATGGAAAATTTTAGCCGACTTTGTTGCCGGCAGCAGGTTTATTCAAAGCAGGTTGTTGGTACTGATGAGTCGTCTGGCAGAGGTTTGGGTGTTGGTGTTTGATTCTTCGGCCTGACGGTGATTGCAAGAAGAGAGCGCTTGATAACTTTGCGCGGATACGTAAGTCACAACATAGGTAAATAGGAGAAACGGCCGCTCAGGCAAGAACAGATGAGTTAAAGCTGTAATATTTGTCATATTTACCGACGCCGCCAACCCTAACAAGTAAGTTTAACCCTGTCCTGAAGCTGTGGGTTGCGCGACGAAAACAAAAACGACGGCCGGTAGCTGAGGCCGAAAATTGAAATAACTTCAATACAATGTAGTCTACCCCACATACTATCACTTTGCTACGCAGTAACCTGTGCAAATATACTCTTTCGGTGATTAATTGTTCGTTTAACGAAATCCAGATGATTGGTCTAGATTCTGTTTGACGTTTGCTGCATATATGGGTTTTTAATCTTTGGGAGAATAACAAGTAATGGCTTCATATAACTGTCATTTTCAACGAAGAGACTGTCTTTCCTCTTCTTTCGATCTGCTTATCTCAAAATTTCAATACGCAAGTTCACTTACAGCAACCAGCTTCTTAATGGTTTTAGCCCACAGTTCGCCTTTTGGTGGATGCGGATCAAAACCTTAGAAATTCTGTCACAATTGTCTTGGGACTGACAACAACCAACAAACGCCGACCTTAGTTGCTGAGCACTTTGTAGTTTCAGCAGTCCGTATGCTTTGTCAACAAACACAGGCAGGCAAAGAAGTATCCGCCGCGAGCAAGAATCGAGCCCTCTGCACGCATTTATGATATAACGTTGGACTTTAGGGTGTGACCACGGATGTACGCTTTATTCCCTCTGCAACTTTTCTCAAATTGTAATGCGATGTTATTCCTTACCTGAAAGACAATTCTACCTACGTTTCAAGGCCGATTTTGAAGGGCGAAATCCTGTAGGTGCATGCAAATTTTATGCATTTGTACTCGGCGGGCTTTTGTCGTTGAATGTCATTCTGACAGTTCAATAATAGAACCACTGATCTTATCCTAAGCAGGCGCTTTCTGCCAGTTAGATTTCATCTTTTATAGGAATTCAGAAGGAAAATTAAGCAGGGCAGTTGAAAGTTCTGATTTTTGAGTCGGCGTGCTACCAGGCAGCAATATCCCAACGTCAACTTGGAAAATTTTGCAAGTTGAATCTGAATAATTTGCTCATTGAATAAACGCTCTATCATCGATAGGTTGTCTCACCTTTTGACTGTAATCGTGAATACTCAAGAGAATAGGTGAGTGGCATTTATTGGTATATCTTAATTTTAAAGCAGAATACACGCATTTTGTTTTGCTTTCGAGTTCCAGTCGGAGGCCTTCTTGAATGACCTACTGACATCTGGCAGGAAATGACTGAAGTATTATCCGCAAAAACGGAGACCAGAAGCACTATTCCTGGCTCCATTATAGCTTAATTACAGGTTAGACAGACGTGAGCTTTAATCCAGGAACCATTTCCTCACTGCACAAATGATATATCGTCAAGCCACTGGCACACGACCTCTCTATTCCAACTGCATGAAGGCGTGCGTAAGAGTTTTTATGATAATTATCAACACATGGCACATTTGGGAAAGTAATATCTCAAAGTAATATCTCCCTTGGTGCTCCCTTCGGCGGTGAAATACTTTGTGTCTCTATTTGCTGTGCTTATTAGTTCAAATATTATTCTTTGCGTGAGTCGATAAGCTTAAAGTTAAATAAAAAGCCCGTCTCTCAGCTGCCGTTTCTTATAAGTTAGCGGATTATTTCCGCCTTCTTATGTCTCCTTACGCGGCTTGTAAGGATAGAACAGCACGGAGAATTCCCCTCACCTTCTGATTCAATGATCACGTTTTTGCTGATAGTCGACAGAGAAGTCCTACCCTTAAGCAATGAGTGTTTGGGTTGTAGCACGGAAATGAGCATGTAGTCTAGACTTTTCCGCCGGGACCATCTTCGCTTTCGGAATGATTCATGTGACTTGCCCTGATCGCCTTCTCTACCGCTGTGCTCAGAGGGTGATCGAATTTGTCTTTTAGGGTTTCAGTGAAAAGTTCCCTGGAATGGTTGAGCATGTTTGGTTTTTTTTCAGTTAGTCTACTGCCGCCGGCTTTAACTTGCTGCCAAAACGTACGAACATGAAATGCCCCTTTTGTGCGATAGAAGTTTTTTGCCATGCGGTTTTTGTACTAGTTATGGACAAGTGGTTTTTGGACAGATTTATCAGCCAAAGTTCACACATATACAGTAGGTGAGCTAACTCATGAAACGTCGACCGAAATTCCGAAATGCGTTTTCGTTTCGAAAAGATTAATTAAGTTGGGTTGTAAAACTAGTCAGTCTGCAACATAATTTTATAATATTTCAGTTACCTCAGGATGTCGACTTGCGAATGAACTTCCTTCCGCCTGCATGCAAAACGTATACTCCGTAAAAAAGGACTATTTAAGTAGAATGAATTTTTGTCATTGATTTTCGATGCCTCCCAAATGTCCAATTATATTTCATGGAAAAGATGATAAAACTATTTATTCTTTTGGTCTTTCGGTAGAAAACTACGTCTTCTTTCAATCTTATACTCAAAGGAAGGGTACAATTCGGTTTTCAAAAACTTTTCTAACCCCCGAATAAATTTGGACCCCCTCTACCGTTACACTTGGATTCAAGATTGCCAAACTGCAAGCCGTATATTTTCCGCGTATGGAAAACCACACATTTCTCGGCGGTACTAAGGGAGACCATATAGGGTTCATAAAATTCCGCAGTGGACTTGATCCATATTGTTAACTTTACAAGCCACATGGATAAATGTGGAGACATAACGTTTTATGAACGGCCATTACACGGTATTCAAAATTCCTAAAATTAGAAACTTTTTTAAAACCGAATTATGCCCCTCCTCTGAGCACAAAATTAAAAGAAGACGTTATGTTCTACAGAATTTCCAAAAGAATGGATATTTTATGCATGCTTTCCATTTAGTATAATTGGACTTTTAGGGGCATCGAAAATCATTGACAAAAGCTCATGCTACTTAAATAGTCATTTTTTACGGAGTGTATTTTTTGCATGCCGTCGGAAGGAAGTTCACCCGAAAGTCGGCATTCTGAGATAATTGAAATTTTATAGAATTATGTTGCAGGCTGACTATTTTTACAACCTCTCTTAATTAATCTTTTCGAAACGAAAACGCATTTCGGAATTTCGGTTGACTTCATGAGTTAGCCCGCTTATTGTATGAATGGCATGTACTTGCCTAATCCCGGCATACACGTTTCACGTCAGTTTTGACCAGCTTTGTTTTCATAGACTGATGACTTCAAGTTTACTTGGTCCAGTTTCACCAAGCTGCACTGGTCGTTTTATATGAGTACCACTCGACAAAGATTACTAAGAAATCATCGATTATTGATATGAACTGCACTTTGCTCAATAAACCTTATCTTTAGGGGCTGGTCATCGGACTGCCATTACCCACGGACCCCCAGCGAGGGTCAATATTTTGATCTCTTTTAAGGAACGTACTGTATATCGGAAATATTCAGTCTCTTCTTTATGACCATTGGAAATGTCATCGGCGTAAAGAAGAAGGCATCATCATCGAAACGTTCCCAAAATGTGAGCTAATACGCCTCAACTATCGGACTTTTAGGATGTCGGATGTCGACCCAAAAATAATCCCGGAAATTCCTGAGCCCATCTGAGAATGCTGGTCCGTTCATTAGTGATGCCGTCGACTGCTTTGGGAGTCAAGACAGTGTATGGCCCGTGGTCTGTCTACATCTGCAAACCTACCGTTCCCCTAAGATAACAGTCGGTATTTCGATCGCTAAAGTTTAGGGTTTCAGTCCTAAGAGGGAAAAGACGTCGAGGTACATAACGGTCTCACTTAATTCAGA